CGCTGCCTCGTCGCCGCCGACCTCCGCGGCGTCGACACCCACGGCATGAACCGCATCCCCTCCTACATGGAGCGCGTGCGCCAGGGCGTCCTCAACGCCGCCGCCGAGCCCGAGCTCACCCAGATCACCCCCGCCGTCGCCCAGGTCGACGGCCGCAACGGATTCGGCTTCGTCGCCGCGAGCATGGGCATGGCCGCCGCCATCGAGTCCGCAAAGGTCTTCGGCATCGGCATGGCCAGCGTCAAGCACTCGAACCACTTCGGCATGAGCGCCTGGGTCGTGCAGCAGGCCATCGACGCCGACATGATGAGCCTCGTCTTCACGAATTCCAGCCCCGCGCTGCCGGTGTGGGGCGGCAAGAGCAAGCTGATGGGCGTCTCGCCCATCGCGTGCGGCGCGCCGGGCAAGGACAAGCCATTTATTCTCGACATGGCGCCGTCGGTGGCGGCGAGGGGCAAGATTTACAAGGCCAAGAGGCGGGGCGAGAAAATTCCTCTAGACTGGGCCTTGGATGCGGAAGGGCGCCCGACGGATGATCCGGAGGCTGCGTTGGGGGGTGTCATGCTTCCCATGGGCGGGCCGAAGGGCTCGGCGCTGTCCATCATGATGGACGTGTTTTCGGGGGTGCTTTCAGGGTCTGCTTTCGCAGGACATGTAACAAATCCGTATGACCCCTCGAAGCCGGCAGACGTGGGCCACTTCTTGGTCGCCATCAAGCCGGACCTGTTCATGAGCTTGGATGACTTTAGGGAGAGGATGGATTACCTGTACCAGCGTGTCGTTGGCTCAGACAAGGCAGCTGGTGTGGAACGCATCTATTTCCCAGGTGAGATTGAGCAACTCAATCAGCAGGAGAGAGAGAAGACTGGCATCCCGCTGGTACAGGCTGAGGTGGATGCTCTTAACGAGGAATCGAAGAGAGTTGGTGCTCAACCCTTGACCCCCATGACGATGGCACAGTCATGATGGAGATTGATAGGTAGCAACGTGTGACTTAATAATGAACTTAATTCTTGAAATCGAACGCAAAGTTACAGTCCTCGGACGTCAAGTAGGGAATCAGGTTCAATAAAGAATGTTTTGTATTCATGCGTGTATGGATACTCTCTGATCATGTCTTCATCCGCCCCCACGAGCACCACCGTCTCCCTAACCCCCTCGCGTCTTGCATTCCCTTCATGTTGTTTTTTGTATACCAGGATTTCGGAATCATGTTAGAATTACTTGGGGCAAGTATCAGGCGTTTTCGGTTTCAGTGCGAGGCGAATTCCATGACAGCCATCAGTGGGGAACATGTTAATGTTGACGAGGCTAAAGAGTGACTTCTTCGCATCAATTGGGCAGATACCGAAAGAATCAACTCCATCAAGAGTGAGGATGACGACTTCGCTCCCATCAGACAGCTTTGTCTTGGTGGTGCCGAATCTCGGTGATCCCATGCCAAAGCAGCTGAAAATCCCCTCGTGTCTAGGGTTGAAGTCGCAGAACTTGTCTATGGCGTCCTGTATCCCATCGGTTCCCTCAAAGGTTGGGTCGCCATGAAAACAAAAGTGTCCCTGTGGATATGAGTTGATATCGAATCCGACAAAAATTTGGCCGGTTTTGGATTCCTTGACGTAGCCCCAATCCTGTACTTTTCCGTTGCCCAAATCTTGCTTGACCGTGAGAGCGAAGCAGCATTTTTTGTCTGAAATCGCGGCATCGCAGCTATTGGAGATATCTGTAGTCGCATGGGCTGCATTGGGTGGAGCTGCACTGGCGAGTGTGGCCGCGAAGCCGACGACCAGCAAGGTGGCACCCGTGAAGAGCATGGTGCTGTGGATGAGAAGTAGAAGGTGGAAACGCGACGCTAAGCTAAACAACAATAAGTCTGAGCGATACCAACAAGGCTGAGTATGCTGAGCAAGTAATGATGCGCCGTCAGTGGTAGCGGAGAATGGGGAGACCTGGGAGCGGATGTTATTATGATGGGAGGAGAAAATTGGCAAAGAGCAGACGTTGAGAAGCAAAGATTATATAGTGCATCTGTCGACAATCAACATGCAGGTACCCTCAGGGAGTTCCTTCTTTAGTTGTGCGACGGTAGTTTGCAAATGGAAGGCTCGGCCTGACTTCGGTGCGGAAGGGCCAGGGAGCAGTTTCCTTCTCGTGAGGAACGTGACGATCCAAGCACGAGCTTTCTTGTCCTCAAGGGAACGGCCACGAGGAAAGAGGGCCGTCTTCGGGCCTACTGTATGATTCTCGCCAGGCTGGGTGCTGCAGGGGACACTGGATTGTGGCAACGGCAAGAGCAAACACTCGGACAACAGAGACTCTGTTTCTATCATACTTTGTACATGGATGACACTGTGCTTGCAGATTCCTCCCGTCCTCGACCACTCGGCGGCAGTGGACCTGGAGGCTCGCCGCCCCTCTAGTCTAGTCAGTGATTTTTCGGGCAACCAGCAGTTGAAGAAGGACCCATCCCGTCTTCCGCTTTCAAAATTGTCACTGGGGAACGTCTTTTACTTGGTAAAAGTTCCAAAGATGTGTGGCACAAGTTGGTACCATGGCTCGATCGGCGGTCGCGCAACATCAATCTTCTCCCAGGGTCCTACAGACTCCAGCGTCTTGCGGGTGTTTCGGCACAGCTCGCAGCCATTCAAGGCGCGAGGCCACACGAGGTTGATAAATCCTGCATGCAAACGCGATTAGTGTCCCGTTTTCATGCGGATGTTTGGGTCCGACTTACGTTGGTAAAGCCGAAGCGGCTCGTTGACCGACACCTCGACGTGTTCATACAAGTACCACCTCCCGCCCTTCTTGAGGTACGAGTACAGCTCGGAAATGTTCTTCTCCGGCTCGGGGATACCACACAAGCAGAGGATAGACACGATGCAATCGACGCTGCCCTTCTCGATCTTGCCTCCCCACACGGTCGGGTCGTTCAACGACTCAATACCCGTGGGGACAATCTCGTATGTACCCTCTAGACCGGCTTCCTTCACACTTCTCCTCAGGGCTGGATGCAGCTCGGTATTGGGCTCAACGCCGTACACCTTCTTCACGCCATCGGCGACTCTGCGTCTCACACCACCGGCAGCCATGGTGGCAGGCTTGTCCTTGGCGAAGAGGCTCACCCACAGCCCGGAGCCAGGGCCGATTTCCAAGACGACGCCATTCACAGGAGGGTGAACCGGGTCTTTGACTACATCGGCGCCGGTCACACGGCCTTCGAGGAGAGCAACCATGCGGTCACTATTGCCGGCACGGATGTTTGGCCCAGCCCAGCCCCAGAAGGCATAAAACCAGGCATCTCGAAGACGAGACAACGACAGCAGTCGGCCAAAATCACCGGCGCGAATCAGACGGATGATGGTGCCAGGGAGGTAGTAGAAAGAGTAAGAAAGGAAAATCCAGGGACCTATGAGGCCCCTGGCGAGCTGGGCAAGTTCAACCAGAGAAGGCATGGCGGGCGCTCAAGGGGCTAATGAGGGGTGAGAATGGGTGGACAATGATGGCAATCGTGTGGTCGAAGCGAAGAGAATCGGGGAATTTCTGGTCGCCGCGAGTATTCTCCCAAAGTCCCAAAGCGAGTTCAGGCGTAAATATAAGAGGAAGACGACGCGGCATCAGGGGGCGGTCGTTTATAAGTCGGAAAAGACGGATGACCTTCCGCAGTGAGAAGGGAAGCATTTCGCGGGGCATCTATGCCTGTAGCGGGTGTCTCAGCAGCCCTAATGCCATTATCGTACACAAGCTATCGCGGTAGGCCCCACTCCCCGGCCTCTAATCTATTCCCCACCAAACCAACTGCCAATCGTACAACACGGGCTTCCTTCCACATCCATGGATACCCGTTTTCTCCCTCCTGCATGCCGTCATTGCTGGTGATAATTCACAGTCCTTTTCCCATTCGCCTATCACATCCGCCAATTCATCAACGCCCCGGGTCGTTTTGCATGACCAACAACTAACAAATCGCACACGCTTCGTGTCTGATGGAAAACCCCACCACACACCACCCACTGGTTCGCCATGGCAGGGTCGCATTTGATCCTACACGCGATCAGGCGCCAGGCGCCCCTCGCGCTGGCCGACCACTTCAAGTCGACCGGCCTGCTTGGCTCCACTGTGCGTTCCAGGCAGCGAGGCTTTGCCGAGTTTGGCTGTGCCGGGAGGTCGAGATGTGGTGGTTTGAGGGCGCGGTGGCCGCGATACGGAGCAGCTCTTCTGATAGCTGCGGGGGAGCTGTGAGATAAGACCCCAGCATCGGCGCTGAGGGCCTGCTCCAGGCTCTGTGGATCTCCGTCAGCACGCGTGCGTACCAGCCATACCCGCGAAGCACTATTACTCACTGGCCACTTGATGTGGTGCTCGGAGAGGAAGCGGATCTTTGAGACATGTTCAAGATGGTGGGTTAGGGCTTTAATGATCCCAATGGCTGACTGCTTCCAGGGCAAGCTTTTTCACTGGTTTTCCCTGGATAAACCCGGAATGACGAAGTTGACGATGCTATTCAGCGCTCCTGTACAAGTTTGTCCTGAGGACTCAGCTGCTGATATATGTGCGAACCAGATGATATGCCCCATCCTTGGCTCCTCGCGTTGTCTGCCGTCTTCTGTTGAGGTTTGCTCAATTGAGAAGTCAAAGGGCACGCGCGCGCCCTTAGAAGCCATCGTCATCCTCTCTCGCAGCCTCTTCGAAGCGTCAGGGCTGGCGACGCAACCTTTTGCGCGATGTCGCATAAATCTGCGGAAGGCGTTCTCCATGTCGCGGAGAGAGATGCTGATGGTGGGCTCTGCTGCCACCAGTGGCTAGATCGTCATTCCGCCCTGTCAGGCAGATGACCTTAGCAAGAGCAGCCCCCCTGCGCAAGCGGCGCAGCCTGCAGGAAGAGAAGAGCGCAGCTGCGCCCTTGAGCATAACAGAAGCAAGGCGCGCCTTCTTTTCATCGTATTTCTGCCATTTCTCGCGCTGCGCAAGTGCGAGATTCTCAGTCACCTAGGCTTTCTTCCATCATGGGCTTGCAAGACATCGAAGCGCGGACTACCAGGGCTGTCGGCGTGGTTGATGATGACGCTCAAGGAGATCGAAAGCCATCACACGACGCTTTTGCACGTACAGGCGAAGAGGCATCCTTCGACCTGGCAGCGAAGTTCCTCCGGATGGACCGCGCAACCCGCCGTGCAATCGCTTTGCAATACCAGCCGGACGAGTCTTTCATGGATACGTCCCCAGACGACCTTTCGCCCGTCACGATCGATGAAGGCAGGCGTACATGTTCGACCAAGCTTGAGGTTCATCCAACCCTACCATTCCGCGGCAAGGAGTCGGACTCCAGTCTAAGATCAAGGAAATACTGCCGGAGTATTCCCTCCATCGACAGCCTCGAAAGCCGTCCCGAATCGACCAAGGAGACTGCTCGCGAACGCATCTCGGGCGACTCTGGCTACGGCTCAGATTACCGTCGAAGGCGTATCCAGTCTGAGTACCTCCGTAGTGCCGATGGAAGCATCCAGAGACGAGAGGCGGCGGCCGGGGCTGACTCTACGGGGACCACGGCCAATCCACAGTCACGGCAAGGTCGACAGCATCGTATCCCTACCCGTGTTGAGTACGATGATTCCGATATCGAGGAATCGTTTCCTGAGTCTCGCCATTCCACTGCCTCGTTCCGTAGAAATGCCTTGTCTGCCAACCCTGTCGGCGGGAAGAGTGCTGATGCCTACGGGCAAGCTACTCGGAGACGCCCAAAGCCAGACGAGCAATCACGTCAAGCAAAGGGCCTTCGAAGAGTCAGGGGCAGCACAGCCCTGAGGCCAGAAAACCCAACCAATTCACCAACCAATTCGTCACCAACCAATTCGTCACCAACCAATTCGTCACCAACTCAAAGGTCCAACAATCAGATTCCTGACCGCCCTTCTCTCGAAACACTGGACGATGCCAGTTTATCAGAAAAGGGTGATCAGCCCAAGCTTGAGACAGACACCACAGGCATCCAGAATACCCTCCTGTCGATGTCAAGGATGAAGCCTCGACCAAGATCCGAAGTTACATCTCTGTCTATCCCTTGGTCGGTAGCTTCATCGCGCCCACGCTCCGAAATGTTCCTTTGCATCGCAGAATGCTCGGAATCGACTGGTGATAGCGACGGAAACTCCCCTATCGAGTCCAGCATCTTCTCTATTCCGGAGTCGCCCATCGAGGAGCATCACATCCACCCGGACGACCCCTTTCAGCACCGTCTGGATGACGCGATCACTGCCGTCACTCGGCATTACCGTGCGTGGCAAGTTCAGCAAAGGGGTGGCTCAACCGGCGAGAAGGGCACCAAGCGAGCAAATGTTTCAACCCCGGACTCTTCTCATCACGCAAGAAAACGTCCCCACACTGGGAAGCAAGATCGACCACGTTTGGAAGAGGATGATGATGCTGGACCAGGGTATAAACGTGCTAGGTTCCCAACTTCATCCTCTGCTTCAGGGAGACAGCTTGCCTGCCCTTTTTGGAAGAAAGATCCCGAGAATCATCGCCAATGCCACAAGAAGGTTCTCAGCAAAATCAAATATGTCAAGCAACACCTCTATCAATTCCATGAGGCGCCCATAACGTCAGCCTGCTGCGGTGCCGTATTCGAGACCGAAGGCGCGCACGACCAACATGTCCGCGCGCGGCAATGCCAGATTATTCCGGGAGGTGTACAAAGGCAGGGGCTGACCCGCGCTCAAATTCAGGAGATTCATCGTCGTGCGGATCCAAGAAAGACCGAGGGGGAAAAGTGGTTTGCCATATGGGACATTTGCTTCCCTGGCCACCCTCATCCGACATCAGCATACATCGACAACGATCTCTCTGAAGACCTTCGCAGCTTCCGTGAGTACTTCACGAGCCAAAGCGCCAGTATCACATCGGACTTTCTTCACGGCAGTCCATCCGACAGACGCATCGAAAACGAACATGTTGTGCTTTCTTCGGCGTTGGAAAGGATATATGACGACTGGGCTGCGGCAAGGGGGCTGCGAGCCATTCCGAGTTTACCGACTCCGCCAAGGACGGAGCCTTCCAATCCCACAGACTCGGACGGTGGAAGTCATGACTCTTTACCAGTAAGAGCGGCGATGCATGAAGTCTTGCACCGTGAAAGTCTTGCAGATGAACGTCCACAAGGGTATGGGCAGACTGCATACATGGTTGATCCAGTTCTATCCGTTCCGGCGAGCAGCTTACAGCTTCAGGATCTTGGGTTTGATGGCCCGGGATTTCTACAGCAAGACCCCCTTTATAACGACCTTGCAGGTCTCGAAGGGGTTGACAACATGTACGCAGATGCTCGAGACTGGGACCAACGGTTACATGGGCATGGACCGCCATATACGAGGTAAGTGGTGTGTGGATTGAGCTATGGGTGAGAACATGGAGTAAACAGACCAAATCTCAAAACACATTCTTCAATAACATCGTCCCAGCTTGTATTCTTTTCCTCCCCCGTCTCCCACAGCTAAGACCAAGGTTCCTTTCACTTCCCTTTCCCAGCGCCGAGCACCGCAGTCATGCTTAGTGAACTTAGCAAGGGGTGAGGGCGCAAGTGCCGTCTTGAGGGCACTGCTTCGGGCACGACCATCTGCTGCTGGAGTCGACGCAGTCCGTACCGTCGCAGTAGCCAGCCTGAGCGGTAATGTCAGTATTATTTTGAGCGAATAGTATGGTGATCGGCTTACGATGGCAACGGCGGGGAGGAGCATGGCAGCAGCCGCGACGAAGAGGTTGGCGAAACGCATGGTGACTTGTATGTGGATAGACGAGAGTCTTGGTTGCTTTTGAAAGATGGTGAGATGAAGTGAGCTGTGAGTGATTCAATCAGTCTAGGTCTTAACGACGACGAATCTCACCGTCTTTAAGTAATGAAGACACCGCCCACATCTGTAGACTGTGGAGTTCGAGTCCCGGAGAGATGCTCAAAGTCCGATTGTACTCCGCTAGAATCACAACCGAGTCAGGGGGAGAACTCAAAATATATTAAATCCCCTAGGCTGTAGCGATTAGTATACGAACTCCATAGGGACCTTCTACACCACAACTCTATTGTACGGAGACTTATTGGCCTTATTGTGGCAGTACAGCTATGCAATTCCCGCCTGGCATACACTTCTTAGTGGTTCCTGATCGCCAGCCAACGCGTGTGGCACTACGAGCCTTGTTGCCACGACAACCATTGGGTTTCTTTCAAGTTCGTTTGAGAGTCCATTTCCTTTGGTTCAATTTCAACTTGATATCTCCCCCTCTGGTCGTTATTTTTGAACGTCGTGAAGTGAGCCAGTATCCGGAGCGCCTTCCGTCGCCGATTCCGCCACCGCTCCTCCCGAACCCGAAAGCCAAAGACCGGGCCCTCCGGCACCCAGCCCCCGTGGGGCGGGCCCTGGCTCTCTTCGGAATTGGCCTGCACTGCCGGACCGCATGATATCTCCCCGTTTTCTCCGGGGGATTGCTCGTCCGCGCGCCCTGGTAGATCTGGGAACTTGTGTACAGACCTCTTCCTGTCCCCTCTCTCAAGGGGTATCATCCCCACTTCGAGATTGACTCGCGTTATGTAGGCAACGGTACGTCTTGCCGGTCCGTCTTCTAGTAATTGCTCAGATTGAAAGACGTCGCACAACTCACAAGTCAAGCTACGCTTGGGTGTGTCTGGACTTCAAGCATAGTATTAGTGGTGATGTTGTAATCGACTCGTGGATGTTGTAATCGGTAGCCCACACCCCTGTCAACTCAGCTCATCCCCTCGTCAACATCTCTACCTGATGAGGTGACGACTTACGCACCAGGCATGGACAATTGTGCAAATGCCCCAAACTATGTGAGCGAGAACCGTATGGTTGAGATATACAGAACCTCAGATGGCATGGGCTTTGGTCAAAGCTCGGTCAAGTGAACCAGGGGAGATACCTGCGTGCGCAAATCTCCGCCGGCGCAAGCGAACCGGCGGTGAATCTCAATTGCATGATACACAGGGACGGCTGGCGGTACGGACTCGTGTTACTTCTCCGCATCAGATATCTTACCCCGGGGATTTAGGCTGAGCAACTAAGAGTTTCCCGCGCAGTGTTCATACTATGATGTCCCTTACTCGGGATGTCCTTTGTTTATTTCTCTAGTGCATGCATGAGGCACTGCAGAGATGCGGAGCCATCCATACTTTGTCCCTCGCTAGATTGATTGATGATGTGAGTGGTTTCGTCGGAAACTCCGCCCTACTCGCCCGCGCCCGTCGACGACACGGACTTCGGACAGCACAGTGTTGGCCGAGGTTGTCCGTGCCGGCTTCCAGAGAGCAGAAAACTACGGAAGTCGGCCGAGGTTCGGGCTCAAGTTGCCATTCTCACACAATCAAGGCCCGAAGAGAAGGAACAGCAATCCAAATTTCAACGTCGTACCGTCTATTCATCTAAAAAAAAAGGGGGTATCTTATCCGTCCCAAAACGCCTAAAGTTCATCATCATCCGAGTCGTATATCCAAATGGGTGTTTTCGAAGGAACAATGCCGACGTCCCCCTTGACAGGCTCGGTCTTGGCCCCTTCCTTCTTCACCGCCTCCTCCGCGTGGTCACTCTCATAATCGGTCTCGGCATCCAAATCGGCGTCATATCTGTCTGTCTCAGCCTTAACCTCGACCTTGACCTCCTCCTCCGCCTTGACAGTCTCCTCGGCCAACAACTTCCCCTCGCGGATGCGGTAAAACGCCTCCAGGCAGTTGCGCCTCTGCGTCTGCGTCCAGCTACCCACGACGAGCGCAAACTCCGTCGCGCTGCCGAACCCGAACCCCTTGGCCATCGAGCAGAACTGCCGCCGCATCACGTCCTCGGGCGGGTTGTACACATACGAGAAGCCCTTGAGCTTCTGCGCGTGCGCGTCAAACACCTGGCTGTCGGCGAAGAGAGCGCCGTCGCCCTCCGGGTCCACGTCGGAGCTCGCGGCCATCTCGGCCTTGCGCGAGAGCTGCTCCTCGACCTTGGAGGTGCCGATGACCTCCGAGTTCTCGTGGGTGTACTCGACGCCGGCGGCGGACAGGATGGCTTGCACGGCGTCGGACTTGGGCTGTTGGGATTTGACGGTGTCGAGGTAGTCTTTCTGGTTTTTGGCGGCGAGGACGGCGGCGAGCTGGGACATGCCGGCGTCTTCTGCGTCTGCGGGTTCCTGTTTGACGGCGCCGCCGAGGTCTTCCTCCTTGACGAGATTCTCCATGTCGACGGTGGTCATTGCGATGTCGTTTCCGACTCTGGCTTCTGCGATGTTGGTCTTGTTGACGATATCACGGATGACGAGCTGGTTTTCGCGGTAGGTGAAGAGATTTTCGAGGCCAAAGATTTCGCCCTTACGGTCGGTATCTTGCTGCACGCCCTTGAAGTAACGGCGCTCGGAGGAGGCCGTGTAGCCAATGTTTGCCTGCTGCTGTTTGTAGATTTGTCTGGCATAGACGATCTCCTCAATGGTGCCAGAGGAGACAAGACGGAAGACGTCAACATCACGGACTTGGCCAATACGGTATGCTCTGTCTTGAGCCTGGAGGTCGTAGGATGGGTTCCAGTGCGGGTCGACGATGACAACCTTGTTTGCCGAGGTGATGTTGAGGCCAACGCCGCCAGCTTTGGTCGAGATGAGGAAGACGAACTGAGTCGTATCGGAGTTGAAATTGTCCACGGCCTTCTGTCGGTCTTCATAGCTTATGCCGCCATCGAGGTAAGTGACGCTGTAGCTGGTGTTGTGGAAGAGATGTTGGAGGATTCTCAGCAGGCGTACGCTGTGAGAGAACACGAGGACTTTGTCGCCGGCCTCATGCCAGAACCTGAGAAGTTTCTTGAGGACCTTCCACTTGCCACAGAACTCAGGGTTCGCTAGGTACATGATCGCGTCTCGGTTTTCGTAAAGAGATTTCCAAGTGTCTGGGCAGCAGTGTCGTAGAGTGCGCATCTCACGCTTGTGCTTATCGTCGGTTTCTGTGCCTTGAGGTACCAGCAGAGTGAGATGGTTCACCAGCTTCTGAGAAGTGACGACACACGGAAAGATGATAGACTGCCACGGCGTCCCATCCTCGGTCGTCTTTTTGCAACACCAACCCTGGCCCTTGCCTGATCCGCACGCGCACGGATTTGAAAGCGTACGAAGAAGCTCAACATCAGGCCTACTGAGGAAGTTCTTGTACGCTTCCTGCTGGGATTCAGTGAGCGGGCAAAAGACAACTCGGTCCGTCTTCTTGGGAAGTTGGTGGGCGATGAGTGTCTTCATCCTTCGGAGGAAGAAGCCCGGCAACAGATTATTGACCAGCTTGCGCGCGGTAAGGCGGGCATTCTTCAACTGGATGAGCGTCGCATCGTGCGACTGGCCTGTCTTCAAAGGTTTGGTGATGGTGTTGTTCCACTCTGATAGGGTACCAAAGTGACCAGGATTCGTCCAGTTCAAGAGTGTCCACAGCTCCTCGTACTTGTTTTGAATTGCTGTACCCGTCAAGCCAATACGGCAAAGGGCGTTGACATCGTTCATGGCCTTGGTGATCTCCGAGCTCCTTTCTTTGATTTGATGGCACTCGTCAGCTACCACGGCATCCCACTTGACAGTGTTGACATAGCTCTCGTGGTTCTTGTAGGTTGTGTACGTGGTGATCATGATCTCGATCCGGCCAGACCGGGCTGAAGCCAAGACATCGTCCTTTCCGGGGCCATGAAAGACGCCAACCTTCCACCAGCCCCAACGGTTCAGCTCGATCTTCCAGTTCTCGACGATGGAGCCCGGGCAGATGATCAACACTCTGGGATACCACCGCCCCATTTCATCACGCATCTTGCGCAGTCGTTTCCAATCACGCTCGTCGGCCGTCTTGCCGAACGCTGCCGTGAGGAAACTGGCAACCTGAACCGTCTTGCCGAGGCCCATGTCATCTCCAAGGATGCCACCTCTTTGGTACACAAACAGGCGATGCAGGAACTTGACGCCGACAATCTGGTAGTCACGGAGGTATTGCGCGATGGATGCTGGGATGACGCCCGCCGAGTACTCCAGCTCGATATCTTTATGTGGTCGACATGGCTTGATCTTGGAGCTCTCGTCAAACTTCGGTCGCCGCTCCAAAGGCAGTCCTCGTTCGTCCTCGGAGAATTTGAAGTCGTGGTATTCTGGCGGCAGAAGAAGCCCGGCGTCTCGTAACTTCTCGCGCTTGTCGTCGAACTTCTTCCTCCGTTCTTTGATGTAAGCGGGTACCTGTGCGATGTCGAGTTCGTCTTCGTCCGTGCCGTCGGGCTGCTTGCCACTCGCGGTGGCTTTCTTCCCTCCCTTCGCCTTGGTTTTGGCCTTGCCCTTCCCCTTCCGGCCTGATGCGAGCTGCGCCTTGCGCTTC